TTCCTGCTGGCGGTACCTTCTTGTCCGTGGATTGGTCAAGTCGGTTCTGCCCGCTGGAACCCACCTGCTCTGGCCAAACAGTACTAAGGCCTTCTTCTTTGGGTGGGTGCCGTGTTTTGTTTTGAGTGGGGTGCCTTGGGGTCGGGTGCTGGCTGGCTGGGGTGCCCCCCGTAGCCGGCCCGAGCCATGGAACTGATGGTGATCCAGCAGAGCTTAGCCCTGGTCGCTGCACTTGCAGTTGCCCAGTGCCTTGCGCTGCTGTGTGTCTCTCAGTGCGCCCTCGCTGCAGCAAAGTCTGCACACATGGTCTTCGCTGCGTTGCGCAGGTGCCTGCTGATAAGGGCATCACGTTCTCAGTGGACGATGGGTCCGAGGGTCTCACAGTCTTTATTTCAATGCGAAGTCATTGTTATGCTGATCGCACTGTGAGCCTCTGATTCCCGTAATCAGTTAGACAAGAATCAAATGACGAGCGCTCCCTTTGACTGCATGATGCTCCTTTGTCTTTGAATCTGGGCACGATTTTGGCGGTATGATACGAAGTTGTCTATCTGCTGCAGGCTCCGGATCCTGTTTGGCTGTGTTGCCTCCTCGCCCCAAGTGGTAGTGGAGGTGACTTATTTCTATTTCGGAGCCTCGGTTTCCTTGTTTGCTGGCTTCAGCAGTGTCTGCTTGTCGATTGGATTATGCTGGCGCTCCTTGCTTTGAAAGATGGAGATACGAAGTTATCTCCTTGAGATGAGGAACCAATACCTCTACGAACTTTTGTGGCCACTCGGTGGCCTTGGCTCCCCCATGGGGGCTGCAATCCACAGGCTCCCAGCTTTTTGGATACTGCATGTGAGCTGCATTGGGCAATTATTGATACAACACGTTGGACGCTATCTGCTGGTCCGTGGTATCGAGATGATTCGACAAGAACTACTGAGAGGACGCTGAGTGACCTGCGACTTATGTTTGCACAGTTATAGCTCATGTTGTAGTATCATCCTCTTTGCGGTGCTGCTCTTTTTCACACGAGTTTGTTTTGGATTTCGTCTGCAATTAGTTTGATGTGCAAGTTCTTTTTTCGGGCATTGCGGGGTTGATGACCCGCACAAAGGTGCTGGTAGCTTTTTGTGGTGTTTTGTTTTGGGCCCTGGCCCCGTTCTGCTGTTGTTTTGGTTGTTTTTGCGTGGGACGATACGCAAATCTGGCTGGGGGATTTGCATTTCGTCCTCCCGCTGGTTGCTGGTTTTTGTGTTTGTTTCGCTGTTGCCACCGTAGTTTTTGAACTGTACGGCTGTGGATTGGTTAAACTGGTCCAACGTTTTGCCGATTTAATTCGTTTATCCTGTTTTAAGGACCGAGCCTCTCAGCTATACTTGAGTATCGGCCGCACTCCGAAAAAACTAGACGACGGATGGCCCGAGAGCGTAGAGGAGCAGGGTCTTCTCTCGTTAGTATGGAGACACCATAGTACAAGACAATATATTAAAGATGTATAGCACTACTTTCAAAGAAGAGTAGTATCAAGACAAATAGTCTTCCACACACACAGAACTTTTTAAAGAGAAACACTTTTACACACAAACCCTTTTACACACACACACATCTTGGTTATTTTTTTGGGGTTGTTCATAAATAAGGTAGATTCAATCGTTTTTTGCTTGTCTTGCAGGTTGGAGCATCTTCGAGGAGGTCATCCTGGCATGTTTAGAGACAACCGCTGCAGCATGTTTTAGGTTACGTTTTCAGATAAACTGAGCAGAGCGTGGCTAGGTGGAGACAGCGCAGCCCGGCGGCAGCCCAGCAGCAGCAGCCCAGCAGCAGCCAAACCAGCAGCAGCCAACAAGCAGCCAACGAGCAGCCAAGCAGCAGCGCAGCCGCAGCCACAAACGTGTTTACACACAGACACTTCTAGAGACAGATACTTTTACACACAGACGCTTTTACACAGAGATACTATTACAGACACAAAAGTGAAGGCGCATACACGCGAACACACACACACACACACGCACACACACACACGTACGCAAGCACGCGCAGCGAAGTCATTGTTGTCGTTGGCACCTCAGTAATCAAACGAATCTGCAACACATTCAAGATAGCACAGGCTACAGAAGTATTGCTCAGACAGCTCTCGTTGCAATACAAGTAGAGCAAAATCAATCCATACAACTACATGAGCAAAAGCAGTCAGCAGTCGGTGACAAAGTCTCGGACAGTTCTGTTTGACTTCTGCCGATGCACTATGGTGATCCTGTTCTCACATGAAATTTAAAGTCTCAAACAAAGATGCGTCCATCAGCAAGTCTCAGACAGTTCTGATTGACTCATGCTGATGCACTTGTGTTGGTGAAAACGAAACATTTTGGAAGTTCAAAGCTCCCAGGGCACAGGCAAAAAATGAAAGCTAAACCGTGCCAAGTGCGAACTCTCGCTGCCACTCAGAACGCTGTTGTTCCACCATCCACAATGCCTCCACAACATAGGCTCGATGGCGCCACGGGCGAAGAGATGGTCGCTTTGTAAGCAACGGCTTGATCGCATCTTCTGAGCTGTAGCCATAGGCTGCAATGAGCCAAGCACACAAAACCGCAGCGCTGCGGTTGATCCCACCAAAGCAATGAAACAAAATGTGCATGGGCCTTTCTGCGTTGACGGCAATAATTGAATGCTTCCACAGTTGAGAGCATATGTTTTTCCAACTGGAGAGGCATTCCTTGCGCAATGCTACATGTCGATCCAGCTCGCGGCCCGGCTGCTTCACCGTGATGTCGTCCAGCTGACAGTGAATATGGACTACATCGTGCTTGCAAAAGTAATCCTTCCAATTTGATGGAGCTCCATGTACATTCATTTCAGTATCGCACATGGAAACGACAACTGTTACAGACAGGCCAACATCTTCTTTGATGACATCCAAGTTGCAAGCGGCTTGCAAGCTGCCAAGCAGCAAAGCTGCCCTTTCTGTAGGTCGGCACACAAGGCAACCATCCACAGGCCAAGCCGCTATGGATGAGAAGCTGTAATTGTGTCCTCGAGTGATTTCATCCAATGCCGTCCAGGCAGCCGCATCATTGTATGCATCCTCGATGTCTTTTTGCCTAGCTTTCGACCACTTCAGCATTTCACGTTGCGACATGACTAAGCCTACCTGAAACAGTCTAGTGTTGGGTGGAGACGAAAAAGCTACCAAGCGGTGAAGCGACTATGTCTTGGAGTGGTTCGCGCACATACTAGCACATGCAATCACAATGCATTGATTATGCAAGAGCACCACACTTATCAGAATGCCTGAACGCGGCAACTCCAACGCAGCAAACAATTTTTCGGACAACTCAAGTACGAAGCAAAAATTAATTATCACACATGAAAGCTCAGACAGCTCTGGTTGCTTCACATGCGATGATGTGGTCGCTTGTGAAGCTCAGACAGCTCTGGTTGCTTCACATGCGATGCTCTCAACACAACAGCCATAGTGTAATCAAAGGCTGTACTCTTGCAATCAAGCTCTCAGGCATCGTCCCACTTGCCTGCTCTCACTTTGGCTGGTGTTTCTACAATGAGATCAGAAGCAGGGCGTTTTTTAGTGCTGCTCATTTGCAATCCAAAGATGCCACGCCGCTCTGCTTCCACTGCCTTCATCTGCTTTTACACACAGACACTGTTACACACAGACGCGTTTACACACAGACGCTGTTACACACAGAAGCGTTTACACACAGACGCTGTTACACACAGAAGCTTTTACACACAGAAGCTTTTACACACAGAAGCTTTTTCACACAGACTCTTTTACACACAGACGCTTTTACACAGACTCTTTTACACACAGACGCGTTTACACACAGACGCTGTTACACACAGAAGCTTTTACACACAGAAGCTTTTACACACAGACGCTTTTTCACACAGACTCTTTTACACACAGACGCTTTTACACACAGACTCTTTTACACACAGAAGCTTGACGATCGAACCTCATTTCGTGCGAAAGGGTTGCGCGGACAAGTTGGAAATCGCAATTTTTCCTCAGTTTTTGACGATCGAACCTCATTTCGTGCGAAAGGCTGGCGATTGCACCTTGGAAATCGCAATTTTACCTCAGTTTTTGACGATCGAGCCTCATTTCGTGCGAAAGGGTTGCGCCGGACCACTTGAAATCGCAATTTTTCCTCAGTTTTTGACGATCGAACCTCATTTCGTGCGAAAGGGTTCGCGGGACGACTTGGAAATCGCAATTTTACCTCAGTTTTTGACGATCGAACCTCATTTCGTGCGAAAGGGTTGCGCGGACAAGTTGGAAATCGCAATTTTTCCTCAGTTTTTGACGATCGAACCCCATTTCGTGCGAAAGGGTTGCGCGGACAAGTTGGAAATCGCAATTTTTCCTCAGTTTTTGACGATCGAACCTCATTTCGTGCGAAAGGGTTGCCCGGGGCCACTTGCAACTCGTAATTTTTCCTCAGTTTTTGACGATCGAACCTCATTTCGTGCGAAAGGGTTGCGTTTCGTGGCGTCTCGTTGCCACTGCCCCTGCTCCCGCCTTCAAAAGAGAAATAGAAAAGAAGGAGAGGGCAAGAAGGCAAGAGGGCAAGAGGGCAAGAGGTGTGAGAAGGTGTGAGAAGATGTGAGAAGATGTGAGAAGATGTGAGAAGATGTGAGAAGATGTGAGAAGATGTGAGAGAAGATGTGAGAAGATGTGAGAAGATGTGAGAAGATGTGAGAAGATGTGAAGATGAGAAGATGTGAAGATGAGAAGATGTGAAGATGAGAAGATGTGAAGATGAGAAGACGTGAAGGTGAGAAGGTGAGAAGATGTGAAGGTGAGAAGATGTGAAGATGAGAAGATGTGAGAAGATGTGAGAAGATGTGAAGATGAGAAGATGTGAAGATGAGAAGATGTGAAGATGAGAAGATGTTTTACAGGCCCCCACTATTGGAAGAACCCTGCGCTCAGACGCTCTCGGGAAAAAAAGGAGGGATGTGGCGTTAGAGGTGAACGCGGCGTCATGGAATGCGTCGTCAGAATGTGGCGTCAGGGGGGAATGTGGCGTCAGAATGTGGCGTCAGGAGGGAATGCGGCGTCAGAGGGGGATGTGGCGTCAGGGAACGTGTCGTCAGAATGTGGCGTCGCAAGGGAATGTGGTGTCAGTGGGACTGCGGCGTCAGGGAATGCGGCGTCACGGCGTTTGGGAATGTGGCGTCACAATGTGTCGTCAGCGTCAGGCATTAAAGTGCTACAGCATTTGCGGGCACCCTGCAAACGCCCGCTGATTACAGGTTAAACGCTTTGGAACACGTAAACATACGTAAACACATGTAACGAAAGCCTCCAAATCTGTATCGTTCATCACCAAATCGAGGCGGGTCTTGGATAGTTACCGATTTTTCCATGTTTATATTGTTGACATTTGTTAACAGTAAAGTGCATGTGTATCCGGTGCTGCACTGAGATGCTAGTTTTTTTTAGAAGATTGAGATGTTAACTTTCATGGATCAGTGCTCTCCGCCGCACATGCGTGCGAAGGTTGTTTGGGAGGTATGGGGTGCATCCGCTTCCAGAAATACGTAATTTTGGGGTTTCGCATGGCCCACTTCCGGCTCCTGGTGTATTAAGAATAGACCCAAGTTGGTGGCTCGAACTAGGTAGCGAGCAGCCAGGGTTTGCAAGTCTGCAGGTTGGGGTAGTTTAATAGTATATTATATTTTATAAACTATATACACACTCGACTCGACTCAAGCTAGGTACTACTCTAGTACTACTTGTCTACTTGTGACTTGTGATTTTGAAATATTTTCTTAGTTGGTTTTTCTCTGTTGGGGAGTTCTTGGAACACAAAAATTTGAAAACTACAGAGCCAGAGCCTGAGCCAAAGACATATTTACTAACGACAACGCAGTATGGAGACTTTGAACACTCAAGTAAGTATGTAACTAGATGTTGCCAGTCCGCTCTACCTCAGTTTTACCTGTTTGCAATAGTTGAAAACAACTCCACAAAACGTGGTGCAAACAAAACAGAAAACACAGTTTCATGCAAAACGCATGAGCATGTGAATGCGTGAATCGTCCGAGGCTTTGGTGTTTCAAAAGGAGTTTAGATGGTAGCGGAGCCCTGTGATCCGCGAATAGCGGTGAGGGCATCCGGAACGGCTTGTTTTAGGCCTTAGCGTTTGGGTGCGAATCGAGCCATTTCGCCGTTGGTGTTACAGCTGGAAAATCTAGGACTTGTTCCAAGGATTTTGCAATGAGTGCAGCTGGCAGTCCTGTGGCGGATGGAAGTCCTACCGCATCGGCACCTGCAGTGCCTGGAATAGATGGAGCGGAACTTGCATTCCGCATGGTGCAGGCAGCCGAATCCGCTGCATCCGCTGCGGCAGCAGCGACACAAGCTTTGAATTCGCTGAGTTCGACATCAGGTGCATCCACTTCGTCAGGTGATTGGTTCAAAGTACTGCCGAAACCATCAACTTTCGATCCCAAGGATAGAGAGGCAGAGTTGTCGCAGTTCCGAGACTGGTGGTGGCAGGTGGAGCAGTATGTTGTGGCAGTAGACCCGAAGTTTACTGGGGATTTCGACCACATCAGGTCTCATATGGAGGATGAGATGGCATTGGTTGAGCAATCTCCTGGCAGAACAAAGAGAAGCGGTTTTCTCTATGGTTTACTAGCGTCGTTGATGCGTCAAAGACCGTTGCTTTTGTTGAAAGGTGTTGAACAAGGAAATGGACTTGAAGCAGTCCGACAGCTGTTCAAAACATGTCAGCCAGCAAATCGAAACCGTGCACTTGCTCTTTTGCACCTCATCATGCAGTGGCCCAACTTCGACATGCGCAATGCCCTACTTCCTCAGGTCTTGAAGATGGAGGATTCTTTCAGAGAATATGAGAAAATAGGTTCCCCACTGAATGAGGAACTGAAGTGTGCCGTCCTCATGAAGTGCCTGGGCGGTCAATTGAAGACCTACATGCAGGTTTCAATGAAAGATTCGACATCGTATGAGGATCTTCGTGAAGCAGCATTGAGATTTGATCAATGCACAATCAGATGGACGCAATCCATGTCTCTGGGTGCAAGCGTTTCTAACTCAGATGGTGCAGTTCCGATGGAAGTTGACAGAGTTGAGAAGGGCAAATCAGGTGGCAAGAAGGGCAAATCCAAAGATGGGGGCAAAGGCAAAGACAAAGGAAAGGGTAAACAGAAGGGCAAGACGTTTGGTGAGAAAGGCAATCAAACTGGCAAGGGTTATGGAAGCAATTTTCAATCAAATTCATGGCAGAATCGACAAGGTTTTTCACAGCAGACTGGATGGAGTGGCAAGTCTGACAGCTCAAGCAAGGGTGCGAAGTCTGGCAAGGGTTCCAAAGGAAAAGACAGTGGCAAGAACAATGATCAGACATGTCATCGTTGCGGGAAGTTTGGACATTTTGCTAGGGATTGTCGTGTACGTTTGGTAGGTGAAGATTTTTCAAATCAAACTGAAACCAAAACAGATAAAACAACAACCCATGTAAACCATGTCAACAACAATTCTGGCAGTGTCAACCGCGTTTTTTTGGAGCCTCAGCCATGCACAGTTTTTCGACAGTTGGACTTTGACATTTCGAACATGGACGTTGGTGGAAGTTGCAATTCCACGACTCAATGTGAACATGGTTTCAATGGACAGTTGCAGTGCCTGGCAACCCTCTGACGCAGGTGAGAGAGGATTGGATGAGTTTTTGCATTGTGGAAGTGTTGAGAACGTTTGCAATGATGTTTACAGATTGCATTCACTCTTCAAGCTTGACGACTTCGAGCACTTTGCAAGTGGCGTTGCAGAGAGGTATGGATTTCAGGTGTACGACGTTTTGCACTGTGATTCCATGAAACTGTCATGCAAACATGTCAACAAGTTTTCAGAGTTTGTGCCTGGTGAGTTCAGGAGGATTGCAAGGTCGTCCAAGTGCAGCAGTTTTGATGGGTTTCATGTCAAACCGTTTGCAAGTGAAGTGAATGTGAACCGAAACAGCAGTTCAAGTGATTTGCATGTGCGTGCAGTTGCAGCCTCATCACACTCTGACATTGTCCTGGATTCAGGATCTGATGTGACGCTTCTCCCAATTGCAATGGCAGGCATTGGAAGTCCAGCCACATTGACGCCTGGAACTTTTCTCAGAGATGCGCAGGGTAAACAGATTCTGACATCTGATGTACGTGATGTCACATTCATCTTTCAGACAACAGATGGACAGTCCTTGCGTGTGAAAGAGAAGGCATTTTTCAGTGACAAAGTGGACGTTCCTTTACTTTCATTTGGGAAGTTGATCAGAGCAGGGAACTGACAGTTCTCCAATTCTTGCACATTCCAGTGGATCTTGCGTGGAACTCAGTTTCAGGAACAATTCACTTGTTGTCTCAGGTGACATTCGAATGGTGCAGTCAGTAAGAGCAGTATCAGTTGATGTCCCACGTTCATGGCATGATTTGAGAACAGGTTGGTATACTGTCAATGATTTTCCCATTTGCAGTTCAAATGCAGCGCACTTCATCGATGTGACAACAGATTATCTTGTGGTTGATTGGCCTTTTCGAACAACAGTGGCATACCACGACATCAGAGGTTGGGAAGTCATTGAACTGTGTGAGCGTATATTTCCAATGGCAGAGAAAGCAGCTCCTATTGTGGAAGGTGGTTATCAACGTCTTTTGACTCTCCTTTCAAAGACAGAGCTTTGCATTTCTGATTTTGGAATGGCAGTTGCAGAACATGTCACAAGTGGTGGCGCTTCAGGTTCAACTCCAACGACAAGTGGTTCAGGTGACATTGCAATGGGCGCTTCAAGTGGTGCGCAGGAGATTCAATCAGATTTGCAAGAAGTTGAAGTTTCAGTTGAACTGCCACAGTCCATTGCAATACAACCGAGACCTGACCATGTGAAGATAGCTGGAGTTGACGTTTCATGCACTTCTGCAATCAGTGTCTTGAAGGCAGCATGCTCTTATTTACAGGTGAGCCAGTCAGGCAGCAAATCGAGGTTGTGGTCAAGGATCTTAGCAGCCCTTGACAAACGTGCAATTGAAGCTGAACGGGAATTGGCTGCCGTGGCCCTGGATGAGAGTCAGAGAAAAGCAACAAGTGTTCAGACAGCAGAACCTCCAGAAGATGCTGCAGTGATTGCAACTCACAATTTGACACACATGCCATACCAACCATGGTGCCCTGCTTGCGTGATGAGTAAGGGTAGGCCTGAACAACACCGCAGTGATCCTAGCTTGCTTCAACGCCGTGAGATGCCAGTTATTTCATGGGATTTGTGTTTCAGTGGAAAGACTTGTGAAGCTGTGGAAGAAACAGATGGTCAAGCAAAACTTACAGCGCTTGTTGTCCATGACTCACATAGTGGTGCCGTGCAATGCATTCCAATTCAGAGCAAGAAGCAGACGAAGTTCATGGGTGCAGAAATTTTGAGATTCATCAACTTTCTGGGATATGGAGATGTTACTCTACGTTGTGATCAGGAACCTACCACCTTGCAGGTTCAAAGGTATGTTCAACGTGCAAGACAACAACTGAACTTGCGTACAGTGGTTGAGAACTCAAAGGCGCTTGATCATGGTGGAAACTCTGCAGTTGAGAAAGCAATTGATAGAGTACGTCTTCAGGCTTCAACTTTTCTGCATCAACTGACACAGAAGATTGGTTTTGAAGTGCATCCACAACACCCAATTTTTGCATGGGCATTTGTGCACAGCGCGTGGATTTTGACTCGGTTTGGAGTCACGGCAGGTGTGACACCGTATGAGTTGATTTCAGGTCACAACTACAACTCAAGCTTGCGGTCAACAACGTTGATAGCGCATTAAATTTTGAGACGTGAAAATTTTCTTTTTGGTGATGTTCAAAAAAATATTCAGCCAAGAAGACTTCACCCAGTTGCTAGAAAAACAAAGAGCGGCCGCCAGTGATCCGCATGTCCCAGCGTTTTTCACTTGCATTGTTTTTGTTTTTTCTTTGTTCGTTTCCTGTATCTCGGAGGTGTTGTCTTCTTGGCGGTTAGGATCCAAATTTAAAACTCTGTGAATTTGGTTGTCCTGTGATGGTTTACGTTGGAGACAGTGTACAACAGAAAACAGATGCAAAGTGGAGGAAAGGAATCTTTTTGGGACAAGTTTTGACCAATGACATGTACCTGACATCAGTTGCAGGAACGTTGAAACTTACAAGGTCGATAAAGGCGCTCTTTCCAGCGTGGCAAGAGCACATGGAGGAGTACCGGCAGGTGACAGTTTTTCCTTGGCAGTTGGAAGGAACTCTGGGAAATCGAATTGTGCCCACACTGCGTAGTAGCTCTTCAGGTGGTGTTGCAATTCATGCTCTTGATGATGAAATGGGTGAAGACCCACCAGATGAACCAGATGAGCCGGTGCCAGCAACTCCAATTCCAGATTTGATTCCAGTGCAGCCCGCAGCTGGAATGCGGCCTCCTCCACCAACAGCAGTTGTGAGTGACCCAGATGGAGCACGACCAGTTGCAGCAGCAAGTGGTGCCAGTGAAGCGTCAAATGAAAACCCCACACCAGAGGGTACTGAGCAGGCGGGGCTTCCTGCCCCAAGTCTTGGACCGCCTGGACCAATGACACCACTTGGCATGCTAGCACCAGCAGCTATGCCCAGTGAAATGGAAGTTGAAGAAGCAGTTGAACCGAGCGCAAAGAGACAGAAATTTTCAGCCTTGCGTGTTGGAGATGAGACACTTTTCCACATGGATGTTGAAACTGGTGAATACATGGAAGAACTTGGTGACAGTGCAGTTGATTTTTCATGTGAACTTGATGCAAGTGATGAAATGTTTGACGTGGAGGAAACAACAGCGCATGAGCTGACCGAGGATGATCTGTGGCAGCCCTTTTCACAGTTCGAGCCTGAACTTCCATCAGAAAGGTTGCAAGTCATTGATGATTTTGCAGACAAGGTGGAAATTCAAAGACTGTTTGGCATGTCAGTGCTTTGCAAACATGGAGACTATACAGGGAAGCTTGGCACTCAGCTTAGCGCAAAGTTTGTCAGAACATGGAGAAAGAAAACCCGGTTGCAACATGATGTAGATGGGCATGTCGTGTCCAGCCAGCAAGGATGGCTCAGGCGATCACGGCTTGTGGCTCGTGAATACAACTGGTTGGATGTTAGGGATGACGTTTACAGTCCATCTTCAAGTGCAGCCATTGTCAAGTTGCTTCCAGCGCTTTGCATGTCAGAAAGCTTCTGTGAAACCAGTGTACTTGGAACTTTAGACATTGGTGATGCTTTTCTTCAAGTGCCACAGCTTGTTCCGAGAGTTGTGCGTTTGGGGTCAGATGATTACGTGATTTTGCGCTGTTTGCCAGGTCAACGTGATGCTTCAAAGCTGTGGTACCAGTTCTTTGTGGAGAAGTTGCAGAAGCTGTTTGGTGCCACAGTATGCAAGGAACAACCATGCGTGTTGAAGGTTGAGCGCAAAGTTGCAATGGTCATGCATGTGGATGACATACTCTTCTTAGGAGAACAGTCTTGGATCAACAATGTGTTTTTGCCTGGACTTGAGAAGGAATTCAGGTTGACCAGCACAGTGGTGGACCGTACAACAGGTGGGAGTTTCGAGTTTCTCAAGAGGCTACATGTTGTTGAAGCCAACTATGAAAAGTTGACTGTTTTCTCAGAGTCAAAACATGTGCATACGTTGTGGGAAAGGTTTGAGAAAGTGAATGGAAAAGCAGCAAAGATGTCAAAGACACCCTGCAGTGTCACGCCAAACGGAAGTAGCAGTGAGATGGCTGAACTTCTGTCAGAAGGCATGGCAGCTGAATTTCGCTCTCTTGTGGGCGTGGCGATGTACATCAGTCAACAGCGTTTTGATGTGCAATTCAGTGTCAAAACTCTTGCGTCGAGTTTGAAACAGCCAACAATGTCTTCATGGCGTGAGCTTGGAAAACTAATAGGGTACTTGAAACAGAGTGAAAACTATGCGCTTGAGATGAACAAGGTGGTGAAAGGAAGCAGTTCTCTAGAGACTCTGAATGGTGCATGCAACAATGATGAGCAGAGGCCCAATTGCCTTGAAACCTTTTCTGATGCCGACTGGTCAGGGTCAGGCAACCAACGTTCCACATCGTCAGCAGTGCATGTGTTGAATGGACAGATTGTCCACTCAAGCAGCCGGACACAAAAATGTGTCTCCCTATCCAGTACGGAGTCTGAATGGTATGCGGCAAGCTCAGGAACATGTGATGGACTTTACCTCCACCACATACTCTCTTTTCTCTGTGATGGGGACATCAGTCCTTTGGTTTTGCATACAGACAACAGTGCTGTGCGGATGTTATCTGTCAAGCTGGGAGCGGGACGCCTGCGACACATCAAAGGTCGTTTGCTGTGGCTGCAGGATAAGGTAGCTTCTGGTGACTTGCAGATAAAACAGGTGAAGACAGCGTTGAACATTGCAGACCTCAACACGAAGCCGCTGAGCAGAGATCGATACTTTTGCTTGCTTTACATGTTCAACTTTTCAGTTGATGGTGAAAGAGTTGGAGAAACAGAATATGCAAGGATGCAGACGAAAGAACTCTTGAAGCAGCAGGTGAGAATTGTGAGTGAAGTTGTGGTTGAAAGTGGTCATGCAGCACAGACCACAAAACTCCACAAGTTTGCCAAGCAGATCTTGCGTGTGCTGGCATCATGCATTCGGACTGTCTCTTGCTGAGGGACAGTCCGACAGTGGAATGGTGAAGAAAGTAAGCTCCTTTGGAATGGACACCGCAGAAGCCTTGGGTCATGGGCTATGGCTGAGCCCAATAACACTTGCGTTGTTTGTCGCGATGTTCATCCTACTTGGAGTGCTTGTTGTTTTGATGGTGCCTGGTGAAGGAGAACCTGAACCTGAAGATGGCGAAAGAGATGCAGAACGAGAACCTGCAATGGAGCCATTGGCATCACGGTACCCAATGAACAACCGTTCACTGGGACATGTCTTTGCAAGTGTCTTCGCAGACCCTATGTTCAAGGTGGAAGGCATGCTGGTTTGGATGTATCACAGGTGTGAAGGAAGAGTACGCCGTGGAAACAAGCGTGTCCTCAATGGGTTTCGAATGGAGACTTTGCAGCAAATGATCAAGGTTTGCTATGACCTTGCAGGTATGACTGCATCGGAATCACAGAATATGATGGACAATGTGGTGGCAATGACAGATCTCTCTGATGATGATCACTCTCCTCGAGCTCATTTGTCTATGGATGAGAAACAGGTCGAGATCCAGCAGGCTTACCAAGCATTTCAAGTTGGACTGGACTTGGTGCGACAGATGAGACAAGCAGAAGCAAGACACCGTGAAAATGCAGATGAAGGAACAAACAATGAAGAAGCCAACAATGAACAGATGGATCAAAGTAGCTCAGGATCGGAAGGTCTTCCAGTACGTCTCAGGAGGTACCTACACATCTCCTTGGACGAGGCATCTGATCCAGACTTATGGATGGAGATCCATCATGGAAACGATGATGAAATGGAAAACGAAGACTGAGAGAAAGGTTGGTCCCGCTGTGAGTTAACGAGATCTCACAGGGGCATTTGCATTTTCTTTGCAATGGATGGCAGCTGTGAGCTAACCTGATCTCACAGTGCAGCTGAGATAGCATGTCTCACAATGTGACAAGCTGTTTTTCAGTTGGAATTCCACAAATGTGGATGAGTTTGTGGCGTTTCGTTGCTTTTTGGTTTTTCTACGTAAAGTAGCCATCTAGCAGCTTGGAACCTGAGTCAACGGACCTCAGAACCCAAGGGCGGGGTAACTAGATGTTGCCAGTCCGCTCTACCTCAGTTTTACCTGTTTGCAATAGTTGAAAACAACTCCACAAAACGTGGTGCAAACAAAACAGAAAACACAGTTTCATGCAAAACGCATGAGCATGTGAATGCGTGAATCGTCCGAGGCTTTGGTGTTTCAAAAGGAGTTTAGAGTATGGAGTTTTGTTGTCAGCATCGTTGTTTTCAGAGAAACAAATTTGTTTGAATTTGATGAGTTTACGGTATTCTCCAAACACAAACTCTGAGGAGTTTTGACAGTTTTGATTGTTTTTTTTCATTTGCAAAAACAACAACAATACAATCTTGCAGGCCACATGTATGCTTGTAGATTTTGGCAACAGAGATTGGAGAACTCTCCCTCCCGACTTGACTCCCAACTATATAATTGTTTTCGTGTAGCAAAATTTTGTTCTCGAGAAACCCTTACGACTTTTTGAACCCAAACGGGACTCAATCTCAATCTCTGAGTTTTTTTTTCGTGTCCATGGTTTTCAGAAGAAAATGAGTTTGGACCTGGACATTGGAGATCTTGAGAACCTCTGAGCCTCTGAGTTTGTTTTTTTTTCTCCAGTTCATTTTTTTCAGGAACAAATGAGTTTGGAAATTTTGAACCTGAATTTGAAAAATTATCCAAACTCAATTTTTTCTTTTGAATCTGTGAAAGTTTTCTGTTTCTGCTCCACCGGTTCAACACAGTTGCATGGCCACTGCACAAGGATGACACGCACTTCAATCGAGACAGTTCCATTTTCACGTCATGACATGTGAAACCACATGTGAATGCATCTAGGCCCTGAGGTCCAAGCAAAAAGGAGTGACTGCCAGCTGTTCTTTCGCATGGTAGCGGAGCAGCTGGCATAGGTCCCAGGGTTGGTAAGTTTCCCTCCTTGCTGGTTTGTAGCAGCCATAGCTTGGAAAAGGTGAACAAGCCTCTGAACTGGTTTAGCAGTTGCTTGGTGGACATCCTCTACGTGCTTGAGTTCCAGGACACCATTCTGACTCTGACTTAGGGCTGCAGTTGGGCGTACAGACTGGAATTTTTCGGCATTTCTGGGGATACATACATAGCATGGCAACTGGACAGGTTACAGTGGACGCAGGAGTGTTTCAAGCAGCACTTCTCCAGGTGGCCGAGGCCACACAGGCAGCTGCATCAGCTGCTACAGCAGCACAACAGGCTGGGTCTTCACAGGCAGCCAGCTCTCAGAGCCCTTTGGCAGGAAAAGGGGCTATCGACTGGTCAAAGCTGCTGACCAAACGTTCGAACTTTGGTGAGGGGAAGTCTGTTGAGGACGATGTGAAGCAGTTCAAGGATTGGCATTGGCAGTTGCAGCAATATCTGGTGGCCATCGATGAAGGCTTCCAATCTGAGCTGCAACAGCTCAACAGTGATCCTGGCAAACCTCTGGACATGAACACAGCAAGTGCAGAAACTCGTGGTCGTTCAAGCAAACTGTACTCTTTGTTGGCTGGACTCATGAAAAATCGATGCTTGCATATTCTGAAATCAGCACCTTCAGGTGACGGCTATGAGGGTCTTCGACAGTTAATTCTGGCTATGAGGCCCCCAGTGCAGAACAGAGGACTAGCGTTGTTGAGTGCGGTGACAGCATGGACACCCTTCTCTATGCAGAAACCTCTTTTGCCACAGGTGTTGAGGTTGGAACAAGCGTTTGAAGAAACAGTGAAGGCTGGTACAGAGTTGCCAGACAGTTTGCGCACAGCAGTTGTTCTACGATGCGTTCAAGGACAGCTGAAGACACATCTGAACTTGTCTTTGAGTGATGGTTGCAAATACGCTGATGTCAGAGAGCAGATCCTGAAGTGGGACAGAGCTCAGGCCAAATGGACAAGTTGGCTTGGTGAGGAGTTCAGTGAAGCAACTCCCATGGAGATTGACCGTGTGGATGGAGGCAAAGGCGGTTGGAACCAGCACAAAGGCAAGGGCAAGAATCAGAAAGGCAAAGGAGACAAAGGAGCACAGAAAGGAAAGCAGAAAGGGTCTAAAGGCTCTTGGAAAGGAAATGGCAAAGATGGCAAGTCCAAGAACTATGACAACAACAACAAGGGCAAAGGGAAAGGCAAACAGAACACTGGACATGGCAAAGGAAAAGGGAAAGGAGACCAAAAGGTCTGCTATCAATGTGGCGCTCCTGGACACTACGCCAAAGACTGTTGGAATGTTGTGCGTTCTGCTCAAACTGGTCAGGGTATGGAGAACTCCAACAATCAGGTACAAGGCCAACAGGCTCAACCAGTGCAGCAACCTGCACAGCAATCTGGTCAGCAGTCAACGCAGTACAGAGTAGCGCGCATTGCAGGTGACAATTCCAATGACTCTCCACGTGTTTGTGATTTGCGTTCAGTCCCAACAAGCCCCACAGGTTCAGTCAAGGTGGTTCAACAGTTTTATATTGGTGATGATGACGATGGTTTTTCTACTGGTCATGTTCATGCAGTTGTGAAAGCAATTCCTGATGGCAGTGATGACATGCAATCAATACTGCTCGACAGTGGCGCTGATGCAACAGTCTTACCACTGCGGTATGCTCAGGCTGGAATTTCTTCTACAGCAGCCAAGCTGAAGCTGCATGATGCACAAGGGAGAGAAATCCCTGTTGTTGCTATGAGAGACGTTGAGATCTCATTGCTGGATCAACATGGACGCTTGGTGACCATACGTGAACATGGAGCTATTTCAGCGCAAGTTCATCAACCCATCATCAGTTTTGGGAAGCTTCTACAGTCAGGTTGGGGTGTTTGTGGTGTTGAGCAATCACTATACCATGCACCAACTGACACACGCATTCCCATTGAGCTTCAGAATCAATCCATGGTGGTTCAAGGCTGGATCAGAACAATTGGATTTTCAGAGGAGGAACAACCCATTTCCAACTTCATCAATGCTGTTCGAGCTGACGTGTTTGGTGGTATGGACAGAGGTGCAATTGGGTGGTCTTTGAATGATGATGGCACAGGAGTTGGACGCCATTACAGTGACCACTACATGGACCCAACATTGGTGCGTCCTGACATTTCTGGACAGCGCTACAGGACAACTTTGGTCAAGAACGGTGATGCTTGGTTTGTGTTGGAACTATGTGAACCTCTGGAGTCCATTGTCGACCCAGGAGCATCCTTCTATGAACTGGAAGGTAGCCGAGATGTGATCACCATCCTTACTGATGCTGAAAAGGATCCACTTGTCATGGGTTTTGCTTTGGAAGGAGATGAAAATGAACTTCAAGGACAAGCTGAAGCTGATGGAGAACAGATCGACGTTGAAATCCTAGCACCAGAGGATGATGCTGAAATTGAAGGTCAAGATATTGACCGAGGTGATGCTGGCGTTGGTCCTCAAGGCGTTGACATACAAGAGAAAATCATGATTGCGCCTGCCCCAGAGGACAAAATCACGGTGAATGGTGTGGAGCTGACAGCTCTGAGCACTCTTGCGTTGCTTCGACAGGCACTGACTTTCTATGGACTTTCAACTTCAGGTGGAAAAGTCAAATGCTTCAACAAGTTGATCAATCACCAAAAGAAGATGGAACTGGAAGCAGTGCACTCTGCAGCCAGACATGCAGAAGGTATGATGCAACGTGATGCTCAAGCACCACCACTAGCCGAACTTCCTTCTCAGAAAGACCAAGACAAGCATTTCCTCACGCATGTTCCCTATGAACCTTGGTGCTCTTCTTGCGTTGCTTTCAGGGCTCGAGCAGATCGACATATGAGAGATGATAGCACACATGCAAGTGCTGTTCCTACAATTTCCTTTGACTTCTGCTATACAAAGAGCGTTCCTGAGGGCAAACAGCCTCAAGATGTGAAATCTTTGGTGTGTTTGGTCATGGTGTGTTCCCAAACGGGGTATATCCACTGTACTCCAATCAAGCACAAGAACCAGTTTGACTTGATGGTGAGAGAGCTGATCACTTTCAGCCAGCTCCTTGGACACACCGACCTCACTTTCATGGCTGACAATGAGCCTACTATGAGACAGTTGATGCGCATGGCAGTCAATACACGACTGGCGATGGGATTGCCTACACGTTCAACAACTCCACCAGCGTACTCACATGGCAACAGTCTTGTTGAGAATGCCATAGGCAGGGTGAGACCACTTGCTGGATCCTTCATGCATGCTCTTGGTGAAAAGCTTGGAATTGAAATTTCAACTTCAAATCCTATGTGGACATGGGCCATGAGGCATGCGGCATGAGTCATCAACAGGTTCAATGTGGCAGCAGGACGTGGAGTTACAAGTTTTGAACTTTTGAGTGGCAAGCAGTACAATGGAAAGATATGCCAATTTGGTGAACCAGTTTTCGGTTTCCAAAAGAGCCATTCAAAAGGCAATCCACGATGGAAGCGCATGGTGTTTTTGGGCAAGATCGACCCGCAGGACTCATACTTGCTCTACAATGGAACCCACTTGATTTTGGCAAGGTCTGTTAGAAGAATCAATACTTGCTGGAAAGGCCATTTGGCGTTTTACCTCAACTTCAACTGTGCCTCATACGAGTACAGGAGCAGCTTTGGTGGAAGAGTGGTGCCAACCAAAAGCAGGCAGGCACCCATTGCTCCAGGCTTCAATCCTCCAGTTGGGGATGTGGAACCTTCCAAGTTCTTTGATGAGGACGCCGAAGCAGTCCGACAGAAAGCTCTTGAGGAGCAACGTGAGGACTATGAATCAGCCAATATGGCCATCCACGACAAACAGAACCCCATGCAGGAAATGGAACAACAGCCTCAGGTTGGATTGGAAGATGCAAACGTGATACAACATCCCAATCCCGTTGGCATTTCCGATGATCCAGTGGAAGGAGGAGACAATCAACCACAAGAGGTGGCAAATCCAGCGTTGGGAATGGCTGGACCTTCAACACCTCCTTCTTTCTTCGAAGTGCCAATGACTCCTCCAGTGATAGCACCCTCAAGCTCAGCAGCAGCAGGCTCAACTGATGTGCCTGTGACTCCAAGAACGCACCCGACAACAAGAGCTCATGGTGAGGAGGAGACAGCTGATGAGCAGGCTCATAAGAAGGCCAAGATGGAGGATTCAAAGAAACCCAGGCTTATGCAGTTGAGTGAGCAACATTCAGCAATGATCCGTGCAGTGCAGTTTGATGATGGATCGGAATTTCACACTATGGACGATTACAGCCAGGACCTCAAGATGACAGATCATGAGGAAGATGAAGATCACTGGCAAGATGATCCATCAGTCTTTTCAGGTGTTCCTCTGCAGTTGTGGTCAGATGCTGATATCAGTGTGAAGCCTGAAGAACCTCCACAGTGGCTGGACGACTTGGCTGATGAAACAGAACTTGCTCGACTCACCAACATGGGCGTTATCCAGCGTGAAGCTGACTATGAGGGCGTTGCAGAAAAGAGCCATCAACTTAGCACAAAATTTGTCAGAGATTGGCGCCTCAAGCAGTTTGGTGATGAAGCTGATGGGGAACCAACATTCAAATGGCTTCGACGCAGCAGGCTTGTGGCACGAGAATATGCATTCCTGGAGAAACGGCAAGATGTTTACTCTCCAGCTTCAAGCACTCATGTTTTGAACCTGCTTCCTTTACTTTGGCTTCAACGATGCAGTGATTTGAATGATGTTGCAGGAGGAGTTTCATGCAGTGATCAGGTGATGGCATCTCTGGACATCAAGGACGCTTTTCTGGAAGTGCCACAACATACTCCTCTCAGCATCAAGCTTGCAGGTCAAACATGGGTTGTGCTCAAGAACCTTCCTGGCCAAAGACTTGGGGCACGTGCTTGGTATTGGTATCTACGTACGTTTTTGGATGAGACCATGAAGTTTGAATTTTGCAGTGTTCAACCTTGCTTGGCACGCACCTCACAATGTGCCATCCTCATCCATGTGGACGACATCATGTATGTTGGCAGCCTCAAGTTTTGGAATGAGTTCAAGGAGAAACTTCAACAGCGGTTTTCAATCAGTTGCTCAGTTTTGGAAGGAGTTGGAACAGAAATTTCATTTTTGAAGAGAAGGCTCTTGCGTGTGGAAGATGGTTTGGCGTTACTCCCAGGCAGCAGCATTGGGAAGTTGATCAAGGTTTGGGAAGAAAAGTTTGGAAAGCTGAGATCTTCCACAACTCCAGCTGACTCTTCAATTCAGATGGAAGACAACTCTCCATGCTTGGTTGGAAGCGATGTTACGTTTTTCAGAATGGCTGTGGGCACATGCTTGTACATCACGCGTGATCGACCAGATGTTGCTTTCACGGTGAAGGAACTTTCAAGCTACATGAGCAGTCCCACAATTTCGGCGATGAGACACCTCAAGAAGCTTGTAGCTTACTTGAAGGGAACCAGCAACTATGCAGTTGTACTTCAACAACCTCATGGAGGACAAGGCTTGCACAAACAAACCAATGACAAATACTGGCTTTTGGAGTCTTTTTCAGACAGTGATTGGAGCAGTAACAAACGACACAGACGCTCCACTTCCTCAGGTCTCCATATGCTATGTGGCAATTTGGTTTACTCAAGCTCACGTACCCAGAGGGTTATCTCTTTGTCAAGCTGTGAAGCTGAACTACATGGAATGGTTTCAACTTTGTGCGACGGCATCTTCATCAAGCGGTGTGCTGAGTTTGTATTCAAGGGCAATGTCGAGCACATTTTGCTGACTGACTCGTCAAGTGCACGTCAATTGTGCTCAAGACAGGGCACAGGAAAGGTGAAGCACCTGAGTGCCAAAATACTCTGGATACAAGATCAAGTTCGAAATGGTGAGATCGCTTTGAGCCAAATCAGCACAGCCTTCAACGTTGCTGATATTGGTACCAAGGTGTTGTCAGCAAAACGCCTGAAGACTCTTCTCAGTGACATTGGCATCTATGACGATGATGGTGCCAACCCAATTCAGGCAGAAGAAAGTCGAGGTGGAGATGGTCGAAACTTGAATCAGCAAATGCTACAGGCAGCCAAGACAATTGCACGTCTTGCACTTCTCATGGGCCTTGAGCCTACCACTGGCGCTATGGGTTTTCCAGTTGATGAATGTGCAATTGATGGTTCAGCTGGCACATGTGCACCCAAGGATCATGATGATGATCATTCAAGGTTGGTCTACGTGATTTTGTTTGTGTGGTGCACAGCCATGTCTCTTTTGGTTGCAGCAGCAGTTTGGATCGGAATCAAGCGGATTCGTGCCATTGAAGCTGATGCAGGCCATCTTGCACTACAAGTTGCACAAGCTGACACAACTCTTGGTGAGCACATGGCTTTACTCCCCGAATTTCAAAGGACGGTTGGACAGGTGAGAAATCAGGTGACAGAAACTTCAAGTCAAATGGACATGCTGGCGGATTCAGTTGATGGAATCCACTATGGTCTGGTTGAAATTGGAGGATTCGCCCAGCACCGAGAGCTCACCCCAGTTCAACGACGCCACATGTTCACAGTGGAACAAGGCAACCGAGTGGCTATGAATGCAATGGGACACAGCCAATATATGAGCGTGGTACGACATCAGAGTCGGGGATTCGCTTGGGGTGGAGACGATACAGATCCACCAATGGCACCAGCAACATTAACAACAGCGACAGCTGCAGCAGCCACAGGAGCTTCTTCAAGCAATGTTTGGAGTGGAATCACCTACGCTGAGGGTGGTGAGTCCGAATCTGAGAGGACGGAGGACCACCTCCTGAATCCAGATCGAGACATCTCAACGAGGCAAGGTGAAATTGAAGCCTCCATAGATGACTTGAGACTCCAGCTCAACGTGGCGCTTGCAGAAGAGCTTTGGAATGATGCAGACGAGCTCCAAAGGACGATTCTGATGCTTCTGGACCATAGCAGTAACCAAGGTATGAGGAATCCAGAGACAAGAGTGAGAGTGTTTCAAAGGATTGCAGACTCCTTACGAATGATGGCCAATCGAGGACAGCAACGTGGTATGAGCAATGCAACAGTATCAAGATACAGAGACTTCGAAGATGTGTATCGATCCAGAACATGACAGCTCATTTTGAGCCAAACCTACTTTGCTTTTGGATGCCCGGGAATGTGAGCTACTCCCGGTGACCATAATGCTCACATGGAAGCCCAATACGCTACAACAATTCCAATGGGAGCTACAGCAAAGTTCAATTCAGAGCTTATGCAAAACTGCAAAGCGATGCAAGACTCCGCACAGCAGGTCTTTTGGGGCCTACCTTTTGCAGATGAAACTACTTTGGCAGCGTGTCAGAGCGCAATGGCGGTGAAAGAAAACTGTGTGCAACTTTGGCGATTTGAAACTCTCCAAGTTGAGGAGGAGTGTGAAAGTTTTCTGTTTCTGCTCCACCGGTTCAACACAGTTGCATGGCCACTGCACAAGGATGACACGCACTTCAATCGAGACAGTTTCATTTTCACGTCATGACATGTGCAACCACATGTGAATGCATCTAGGCCCTGAGGTCCAAGCAAAAAGGAGTGACTGCCAGCTGTTCTTTCGCAGAATCTGAGTTTGGAGAATTCTCCAAACTCAGCACTTGAGTTTGGAAAATTCTCCAAACTCGACTCAACCCTTGAGTTCGAAGATTTTGAAAAAAACATGAGTTTGGAGATTTCGCACCTGAATTTGGAAAATTCTCCAAACTCAGTTTTTTTTTAAATGAAATTCTTGAAAATTTTCCAAATGCATTTTTAGAAACAAATCTGAGAATTTTTTCTTTTGATTCTGAGTTTGGAAAATTCTCCAAACTCAGCACTTGAGTTTGGAGAATTCTCCAAACTCAACTCAAACTCATTTTGATTTGTGAAAAAAAAACATGTTTTCGGGATTTTGTTTCTTTTGAATCTGCGTTCGGGGAAATCCCCAAACTCAACCCTTGAGTTTGGAGAATTCTCCAAACTCAACCTCTGAGTGTGTGTATTTTTTAAATTTCGTTTTTTTTTCGAAAAAAATGAGTTTGGAAATTTTGAACCAGAGTTTGGATAAAATCTCCAAATTCAAAAAAAAAACGCGCGCAGGTTTTTTTTGATACATAAAACACCCTCTGCACGCATATTTTGTTACCAAAAAAACTTCTGCACGCATATTTTTATTTGAGTTTGGAAATTTTATCCAAACTCAGGTTCAAAATCTCCAAACTCATTTTTTTCGAAAAAAAAATCGAAATTTAAAACATACACACACTCAGAGGTTGAGTTTGGAGAATTCTCCAAACTCAAGAGAATTCTCCAAACTCAAGGGTTGAGTTACTCAGATTCAAAAGAAACAAAATCCCGAAAACATGTTTTTTTCAAAAACCAAAATGAATTTGGAGAATTCTCCAAACTCAGATTCATTTTTTTTTCTGACTTTGGAGAAATCTCCAAACTCAAGGGTTGAGTTTGGAGATGTTTGGAAAATTCTCCAAATTCGGGTTCAAAATCTGCAAACTCATTCGTTCCTCAAAAAAATCCAAACTCAGAGGTTGAGTTTGGAGAATTCTCCAAACTCTATGGTTGAGAATTCTCCAAACTCAGTTTCTTTTTCAAAAACACCCGCAACCCTAAACCCTAAACTCAATGGTCAAACGCCAGCAGCCTGGAATTAGGACTTTAACTTCAGTTTGAATTAGTTTCTTTAGGTTCAAGTTCTGCTGTTTTTTTAAAACACCCCCGTAACGGCCCGTAACCCTAAACCCTAAACTCTAAATTCCCTGGCAAAACGCCAGCAACCTGGAATTTAGGACTTTAACTTTTAGTTAAAATTAGTTGCTTTGGTATTTAGGTTCAAATTCTGCTGTATTGAATATTGAATAGATGAATATTGAATATTGAATATTGAATATTGATGAATATTGTATAAAACAAGGACTCAGGCTGACTCAGGGCCGATGTTTCAGTGGAGTCTAAACTAATGTTTTGTGATTAGAGTTGGCGCTGATGTTGCCCCATGCGCAAGGATGACACTGCACAATCAAGAGAGAGTGTAACAAGTTTCATAGCATATCACATGTACAGTTGAGCCTGTATCCATAGGCGCTTCGGATCAAAAGATGCTTTCATGGTAGCGGGGAGCCTTTTGGCATTAGGCCATAGGCGACCCAGGGAAATTTGGGTAGAGCGTTTCCAATTTCAGTTGGTGAGCCATAGTTTACGTTGCCGTTTTCACGAGCTGTGTTTCTAGACTGGATTGGATATGACGACCTTTACAACTGATGACTTTCAGGCTATGCTTCAGGCCATGACTCAGGCCGCTCAAAGTGCTGCAAGCGCTGCTCAGACTCTTCAAGCACTACAGGCCCAACAGAGCTCTTCATCTACTTCATTGCCTGTCAGTGACAACTTCAAAGAGGCTAGCAGGATGGTCAGGCAACCTGACCCATTTGGGTCTGAGGACCATGACAGTGATCTTAGCAAGTGGCAGGATTTCTGCGTGAACCTGAAAGCTTGGCTGTTTTTGGGAAATCCCAAGTTTGAAGTGGATTTACACCGTGCAGAGTCTCATAAGACAGGTGCCATAGATGTTTCTGCAGAGCCCGAAGATGTCCAACTTCGTTGCAAGCAGTTTTACAACATCATGACAGGCCTTTTGCGTGGGAAGCCACTGAGAATGTTGCGGCAGATTGAGAACCGCAATGGGTATGAACTATGGCGGCAGCTTTGTCAGCTGTTTGCCCCAAAGACGAAAGCCAGGTCCATTTCAGTGTTGTCTGCATTGCTTCATGTGCCCCAGTTTTCGAAAGATCGGACTTTGCTGGATCAAGTTTTGGGTCTGGAGAGACTACGTGCTGAATATGCGAAATCAAGCGGCGCAGACGTGCCTGATGACCTGATGCTGTCAGTGTTGGTGAGGTCGTTACCCCGTCATATACAACAACATGTCCAGTTGCAGATGGACGAGACTAGCTCCTATGAGGATATCCGAAGCTTGGTGATCGGCTATGAGAAGATCACCACCAGTTGGAGCCCTGGAAAGATTCATTCAGAGCTTGGCATAGTTTCACCACCAAATTCGGGCCCAGCCCCAATGGAAGTGGATTTGGTATCAACCTACCCTAAGGGTAAAGGTAAACAGAAGGGTAAGCCTGGTAAGGGTACTCAGAAAGGAAAAGATGGAGGTAAGAGTAAAGGGTCTCAGGGTCAGAAAGGCAACAAGGGCAGTTCTGCTGGCAAGGATGGCAAAGGCAAGGGTTCCTCCACTACAACCACTTGTTTTCACTGTGGCAAACCTGGCCATACTAAGCGTGATTGCTGGCAATTGAATGGACGCCCTGGTTCCAAGAAGGTGAACTTTGTTTCAGCTGATGATGGTGCATCTGTGTCTGGGTCCACAACGGGTTCTACTACCTCTAGTGTCCCCACTTCTGCATCTACGGCTGGCAATAGTGGCAATAGTGGCAATGCAAACTCAGTGCGTTTGTTCTCATCAACCGTGACCATTGAAGAAGTTACGGAATCTGACTCTGGCGATGTCATAGATCTTACTGCCTATGACCATGTTGGCGGTTCTTGCATGATGGTTTCACTCATGGAGCACTGCACAGCGGGTGAGTCATACATGCGTTTTAGCTGTCCTGTTTTCGATATGTCTTATTCAGATTTGGATGATGCATGGACGTTTTCAGAAGACATTGACATTGCTTGCATTTCAACAGTTGACACATGTGATTGTGACCATATTCGTGCTGTTCATCATTCTGGAGGTGAAGCGCTTACTGAGATTGTTTTCGACTCAGGTGCTGATGGTTCAGTGCTACCAGCATCATTTCTTTCTGCTGGCAGACCTGCAGAAAATTCAGATGTTTCTCAGTATGTTGATGCGCAGGGCAATCCCATCACTATCCATGATTCTAGAATAGCAGATGTCAAATTTGGTTCAACCACTTTTCGAGAAAGGTTTGTGGTGGCAGATGTGACCACGCCATTGTTGTCAATGGGTCGTTTGCTCAAAGATGGTTGGAGTGTTTCTCATGATGGAGGTCAGATGCGTTTGGTCAAGCATAAGCGTTCAATTCCACTTCACTTTAGAAGAAATTCTTTGTGTGCATATGGTGAGATCAGAATGTTTTCTTCACAGAGTGATGCCAAAGGTTGTGAACCGGCTCATGTGAGAGCTGTGAACCTTGGGCCTAGTTTGGCCAACCTTGGACGAGGTTGGGTGCGTTTGAGCGAGGATGTGATTGCAGTCAGAAGTACATCTTTGCAACATGTTGACACTACCTTTGCACCAACAGATGCGCTGCTATGGCTACGCACTACTTTGGTGAAATTCTCAGATGGGAGTTGGCAGGTAGAAGAGTTCTGCCAGAACATCAGTGATCTCACTTCAAGAACTGCACCTCTCTCGGTGACCAAGAATGTGACCGAGGTGATCACTATAGCGCACACGGTGATGGTGCCCCCAGAAATTCTTGGCTTTTCTGTTGTTGAGGATGAGCCCAAACCTGAGTTGGCTTCTTCGTCTTCTGCACCTGCAAGAGCTTCCAGTGTCCTTCCATTGGTTCCTGCAGTTGTTCCTGCGCAGGCAGTTGATCCTCCAGCTGATGTTCCTGCGGCAGATGGAGAAGCTGAGCCCCCAGAATCTGAACGAGAAAATGCCAGTGATCCCAAGGAAGTTTATGTGAATGGAGTGAAGTTGGACTCGAACACATCTTTACGAGTTATTAGGGATGCTTGTGAGTCCTTAGGTTTGGCCAAGCGTGGTGGGAAAGCGAGATGTTTAGCCAGGTTGTGGCATCATTTGGAACAGCAGGAGTTGATTGCTTCTCAAGCTGCAGAGCGTGAGTTGAAAGGTGCCCAGGAACGAGTTCCATGTGCAGCCGTCCCACCAAAGGCACCTACCAGTGAAGAGATTTCTCGTCATGCATTGACCCATCAACCCTACCAACCATGGTGTGATGTTTGCGTGGCACATCGTGCAAGGCAGGACATCCACGTGTCCCATGAGAAGCGCACCAGCGAGAGCGATAGGTCTTTGGTCAGCTTTGACTTTGGATATTTCACCAGGCTTGAGGGTGATGAGAAGTTGTGTGCACTTTGCATCCATGACAGCTGGACAGGTGCTATGCATTGCGTTCCCTCTCCTCAGAAGGGAGGCAGATACCTTTCTCATTTGTGCACAGAGTTTTCACGTTTTATTGTTTGGCTTGGCCATGACAAAGTGGCACTCAGGTGCGACGATGAACCAGCTGCTTTGAGCTTGTTGGAAGCTGTGCGCAAGACGTGCAGGACAATGGGCATTGGTGTTTCTGTAGAGACTGTTGTCCCGGCAGACCATGCTGCCAACGGGGCCGCTGAAACCACAGTCAATGTGTTGAGGAGACTGGCTGGGATCTTTGTGACCCAAATTGAGAAGGCGCTTGGAATTGGCATGACAATCAGTTCAATGCATCCTCTTTTTGCTTGGAGCCTTGTGCATAGCTCATGGATTCACAACAGGTATGTGGTGCGTGCCGGGCAGACGGCATATGAACTTTGCAGTGCAAGGATGTATGGAGGCAAGATAGCGTTGTTTGGGGAATCTGTCATGGGGTTTTTGCGCACTTCTCAGAAGTCTGCTCCTTCATGGACTCGTGGTCTATGGCTAGGCAAGACCCTCAACAATGATGCGCATATGATTGGTGTCCCTGGTGATGGAGGCAAAGTGTTTATCACGAGAAGCATTAGACGTTTTCCACAACCATGGGATCCTCAGCTCATAGCAGATTTTGAAGCTTGTCCTTGGCAGTTTGGCCTTGTAGGCCTTGGTTCTCAGTTGGTGGCTGCAAAGAGGATCACAGGCCCTCAGCCCAGCACACCGGTTCCATTTGCTGCACTTGATTTTTCGAATGATCCAGATGCCAGAGCCGTGATGGGCATTCCTGGCACACCAGATGATGATGAGGCTGTCGTGATGGCCCCTTCAAAGGTGCCAAGACAATCTCTTCCACCACCAGTTCAAGCGGCAGTAGCTTCTGAGGCGGGGCAACCTTCTGACTCTTTGGATGTGGCCATGGATGAACATACACAAATGGCAATGCCTTCTACCCCAATTGAACACGGTGCTGAGGTTCCAAGCACCCCTATGGCTAGTGCCCCTGGCCCAGAGGTTTCAGCACTTTCAAGTGGCACACACACCCATGATGATCTAGATTCAGATCGCCCAACAAAAGTTCCTCGTATTCTTGCCGTCCAAGGTGTTGACCATGAAGATGAAGAACCAGTTGTTTATTTTGAGTCCCAGGAGCTTGAATTGTTGGAGGCCTATGAATATGATCTCCAAGATGACATTGCTGACGATGGCGACCATTGGTTTCAATCTGAACATGTTTCTGGTTTGGATGCTCTTTGCAGGCCGTATGCGTCTTTGGAGCCTGAGCTGAGTGCGAGCGAGTTGATGGAACTCGATGCTCTTGCGGACAAGGTGGAGCTTGACCGACTTCAGGCCATGGGCGTTTTGTTGCCTGTTGAATCCTTGGTGGACCAGCACATGTTTTCAGAGTTCACTTCAGCCCCAAAGAAACTCAGCACCAGAATGGTGCGGTCATGGCGCGATAAGCGCATCAATGGAGTGAGGGTATGGCTGCGTAGGTCGCGCTACGTGGCGCGTGAGTTTGCTTGGTTGACACCTGAAAGGCATGACTTATTTAGCCCAGCTTCCTCAACTTTGACAGTGCGTCTTTTACCAGTCTTGTTTTTGAAGTTGGTATGCAAGGGTTTTGTGCTTTGCGCCATTGACATTGGCGATGCTTACCTCACAGTGCCCCAGAAGGTGCCAACTGTGGTGAACTACACTGACAAAGATGGTCACCGTGTTGAGTTTTCTCTAGGCCGTGTGCTTCCAGGCCAACGAGATGGCGCCCTGCTGTGGCATGAGTCCATAACCAATTTTCTTTTGCAAGAGATGGGCATTGGATGCTGTGAAGCATATCCTTCACTGCTAAGGTCAGAATGTGGTGCGTGCATGATGCTCCTGCATGTGGATGACATCCTTTGCTTGTGCACCCAGCAGTTTCTCAGTGATGTTTTGCGACCCACTTTGGAGCGCAAATACAAATTTGCTATTGAGGTCATGCGAGACCCTGGTGATGAGATCACTTTCCTCAAGCGTAGGCATTTCTTCATGGATGAGTTCAACATGTTGATTGAGAGCCATCCCAAACACATTGAGCATGTTTTGGACTTGTTGAATGTCCGGAGGCACTTTCAGCCAAAGAAGACACCGGCCCATCCTGAGCTTGATGCCAATGATGGCACACCTGAGCTGGACACTACTCAAGCTGGCATCTACAGATCTGCAGTAGGTACTTTGCTCTATATTGCTGCTGATTTTCCAGACTGTCAGTTCACCATCCGAGCGTTGGCCCAGTGGATGGCCAAACCAACTGTTCATGCCTTCAATTGCTTAAAGTACTTTGCAGGGTATTTGCTTGGTTGCACAAACCACTGTTTGCAGTTGACACTTAGGCCACAACATGGGTTGTACAACTACTACGGTGACTTGATGGTTTTGGAGGTTTTCTGTGACAGCGATTGGGCTGCCAACAAACGTACCAGGAAGAGTGTCAGTTCATGTTGCATGATGCTCCACGGCTGTCTGCTGTATTCTTGCAGCAGGACTCAGAGAACCATTGCCCTCAGCTCGGGAGAAGCTGAGACATATGCTGCTACCAGCGGTGGGTGCGATGCTGTTCTTCTTCGAGAGTGTCTTCTCTTTCTCTTTCCAAATGATGGACTGGAGGTGAGACTTTTCATTGACTCCAGTGCTTGCCGGAGCATTTTGCAGAGGCAAGGGGTTGGCAAAGTCAGACACTTGTCAACCAGATGTCTTTGGATGCAACAGTTTTGTAAGCGTGGTGTGTTTTCAGTTCACCCAATAGGGACCAAGTTGAATGTGAGTGACATTGGAACAAAGAGACATCCACGTTCACGCATGCTCTATCTCATGTTCCTCCTTGGAGTATATGATCAAGGTTGTTCTCAACGTGTTGGCTCAGACATGTACGACCGAGTGACTTCTGAGTCTTTCATTGCGGCGAGTGTGAAGCAGCTTCGCTCTACAGGGTTGCCTACTGGGACTTGCAAATCACTTCTTAAAGTTCTTTTGGTAAGCGCCTTGAGCCCGGTGACGGAGGCGATGGAGTCTTCCTCTCGAACTTCTCCGATGGTGATTTTCCTCTTCACCGCTTTGATGATTGCGTGCGGCATCATTTTCTGGCTTGGCTTGCGTGTTCATCAGTTGAAAGGTTCTTTGAGCATGAAGTCCACATTGCTGGAGGTGATGAAGGTGCTGCATGACAATTTGAAGTTGAAAGACATTGAAGGTG